ATATAAATGATTTTTAGATTTATATGGAAGCTTAAAAATAGGAGATTGATTCCATAGTATATATCTATTGCAATCAATGCTCCATGTTATGTTAATGTAGCAAAAAAAATCGAAAATCTTGGCGTAAAATAATGATTTATTCCATAAACAATTGTTGTTAATCGGAAATAAATAAGAGCGATTTTAGGAAATTATGTATATTTAAAGAAATATATCTATATTTTAAAGAAAAAAGAATATATCTATATTTTAAAGAAAAACAAATATTTGTACGAATTTATGTAGCTTCCAAAAATTCTCCTTATTGTACCGAAATTCAAAAAATATCATTACCATTTTTATCTGTTATTTCAAAACCAACTGATTTATAGAGTTTTTTTAGATATATTTATTAAAATAACATTGAGGGTGTATAGATATATACGGATATTTGTACCTTTAAATTAATATAAAAAAGAACGTTTGGTAAGTCAATTAATGCTTATTTGTACGGATATTTGTATAGATATATACAGATATTTGTACCTTTAAATTAATATAAAAAAGGGGGGATGGTTCGGTGCTTCTACGGCTAAAGGTCGGCTACATCCTTGGTGAAATTCGATGCTCGGGACTCGTCCTTGTCTAGGCGGTGGCAGTAGCGGGGGGAGGTTCTGAATTTCTGATTTTGCTGCGGGCTGTTTAGTCCTTGTTCTGGTGGTGGGATCGGTTACATTGCTGGGGAAGGGCTCCGTTTGTTCTTTGCTTTGTGTTGGTTGTTGGTTTTTGATTTAGTTTTTATTTAGTGTATTTGTTAGTTTTTGTGTCGGAAATGATTACAGGCTAGGCATTGTGCAGTGGCTTTGTTTTTCATCTTCCTTTCTTTTCGATTGTGGAGTTCTCTAGGCCGCCATGTGCGTGTCCTCTTAGTTTTCTTTTCTGTTGGTTTTTAGGTGTGTTTTTGGTTTGGGCTGTTGGGCCCTGTCTCATTACCCTGTTGGGGTCGCAGATTTTCGATTACCCTGTTGGGGTCTTGTAATTGTTCTTTTTGCACTTTTGTGCCTTCTATAATACCCCTGTCGTTTTGGAA